TTCTGTTTTTTTACGACGCCGGGAGGTCTGGGCCAGGAAGGAAAAAGGAGTTAGAAAGGAATTTGATAAGGGATTTCAAAAGTTAGAAAGGAATTCAGCTTTTTTGCGTTAAATTTGTTTTTTACGACGCCAGGAGGTCAGGGCCGGGGAAGAAAAAGGAGTTAGAAAGGAATTTGATAAGGAATTTCAAGAGTTAGAAAGGAATTTCGTTGTTGGGGTCGTTTTTTTGTTTTTTTAACGACGCCGAGATGTCTGGGCCAGGAAGGAAAAAAAGGAGTTAGAAAGGAAATTGATAAGGAATTTCCAGAGTTAGAGGGGAATTTCGTTTTGGGTGTTGTTTTTAAACAAAAAGGAAACGACGCCGGGAGGTCTGGGCCAGGAAGGAAAAAGGAGTTAGACATGAATTTAATAAGGAATTTCAAGAGTTAGAAAGGAATTTCGTTTTTGGTGGTGTTTTTTTGTTTTGTTTTTTATGACGCCGAGAGGTCTGGGCCAGGAAGGAAAAAGGAGTTAGAAAGGAATTTAATAAGGAATTTCAAGAGTTAGAAAGGAACTTCGTTTTTTGGAAATTGTTTTTTTTGTTTTGTTTTTTTTAACGACGCCGAGAGGTCTGGGCCAGGACAGAAAAAGGAGTTAGAAAGGAATTTAATAAGGAATATCAAGAGTTAGAAAGGAATTTCGTTGTTTTGATTATTTTTGTTTTGTTTTTTACAACGACACCGAGAGGTCTGGGCCAGGAAGGAAAAAGGAGTTAGAATGGAATGTAATAAGGAATTTCAAGAGTTAGAAAGAAATTCATGTTTGGTGGCTGTTTTTTTGTTTTGTTTTTTACGACGCCGGGAGGTCAGGGCCAGGAAGGAAAAAAGGAGTTAGAAAGGAATTGATCAAGGAATTTCAAGAGTTAGAAAGAAATTGTGTTTTTTGGGTTGTTTTTTGTTTCATTTTTTTACAACGCCGAGAGGTTTGGGCCAGGCAGGAAAAAGGAGTTAGAAAGGAATTTAATAAAGGAATTTCAAGAGTTAGAAAGGAATTTCGTTTTTGGTGGTGGTTTTTTGTTTTGTTTTTTACGACGCCGAGAGGTCTGGGCCAGGAAGGAAAAGGAATTAGAAAGGAATTTAATAAGGATTTCCAAGAATTAAAAAGGAATTTCGTTTTTTTGAAATTGTTTTTTGTTTTGTTTGTTTACGACGCCGAGAGGTCTGGGCCAGGAAGGAAAAATGAATTAGAAGGGAATTTAATAAGGAATTTCAAGAGTTAGAAAGGAATTTCGTTTTTTGGTGCTGTTTTTCTGTTTTTTTACGCGCCGAGAGGTCTGGGCCAGGAAGGAAAAAAGGAGTTAGAAAGGAATGTAATAAGGAATTTCCAGAGTTAAAAAGAAATTTCGTTTTTGGTGTTGTTTTTTTTGTTCTGTTTTTTTTTTTTTTTCACGACGCCGAGAGGTCTGGGCCAGGAAGGAACAAGGAGTTAGAAAGGAATTTAATAAGGAATTTCAAGAGTTAGGAAGGAATTTAGTTTTTGGTAGTTGTTTTTTTGTTTTGTTTTTTTTTCACGACGCCGAGAGGTCTGGGGCAGGAAGGAAAAAGGAGTTAGAAATGAATTTAATAAGGAATTTCAAAAGTTAGAAAGGAATTTCGTTTTTTGGGGGGCTGTTTTTTGTTTTGTTTTTTTTTTTACGACGCCGACAGGTCTGGGCCAGGAAGGAAAAAGGAGTTAACAAGGAATTTAATAAGGAATTTCAAGAGTTAGAAATGAATTTCGTTTTGGTGGTTGGTCTGTTTTGTTTTTTACGACGCCGAGAAGTCTGGGCCAGGAAGGAAAAAAAGGAGTTAGAAAGGAATTTAATAAGGAATATCAAAAGTTAGAAAGGAATTTCGTTGTTTCGGGGTTGTTTTTTTGTTTTGTTTTTCTACGACGCCGAGAGGTCTGGGGCAGGAAAGAAAAATGAGTTAGAAAAGAATTTAATAAGGCATTTGCAAGAGTTAGAAAGGAATTTCGTTTTTTGGGGTTGCTTTTTGTTTTGTTTTTTTACAACGCCGAGAGGTTTCGGCCAGGAAGGAAAAAGGAGTTAGAAAGGAATGTAATAAGGAATTTCAAGAGTTAGAAAGGGATGTGGTTGTTTGGGGGTCTGTGTTTTGTTTTGTTTTTTTTACGACGCCGAGAGGTCTGGGCCAGGACGGAAAAGGAGTCAGATCCATGAGTTAGAAAGGAATTAAATCCTTTTCTAACTCATTTTTCCTTCCTGGCCCAGACCTCTCGGCGTCTTAAAAAAGCAAAACAAAACAAACAACCCCCAACACGAAATTCCTTGCTTGCTAACTCTTGAATTTCCTTGTCAAATTCCTTTCTAACTCGTTTTTCCTTCCTGGCTCAGACCTCTCTGCGAAAAAAAAAAAAAAAAAAAAAAAAAAAAAAAAAAAAAAAAAAAAAAAAAACTTCTAACTCGTGATTTTCATTATCGAATTCCTTTCTAACTCATTTTCCCCTTTCCTGGCCCTGGCTTCCTCGGGCAATTCGGACTCGATTGTCTTTGAGGTTCAGAACTATCTCTGGTATTCAAATTCCTTTCTAACTCAGGAAATTCCTTATCGAATTCCTTTCTACCTTCCCAACTCAATAGAAATGCATAACCAAAATGCTCTTGGCAATATTTCGAGCCTACATTATTAATTCCCGACACAATTATTGATGTAATTGCATACAGTGCGCACTACAGAAATAATTCCGAAACCAATTAAAGCTGTACTGTAACCAAAAAAATCAATGGTAAGCCAGATAAGGCGTTGGGCATTGTACCCATTCTTTCCGTACCCATTTCGTTCGTGCCGAAGTGAGCGGCAGCACCCCTGCGGACGGGATCCACCGCCCCCGCGCGCCGCGCCGCGGCGCGCCCAGGCGCGGAGGCACGGCGCGCGAGGCGCGGGGAGGCGCGCGAGTTGCGCCGCGCCCAGGCGCGAGGCACGCCGCGCGAGGCGCGCGGCGCGCGCGGCGCGCGAGGCGCGCGAGGCGCGCCAGGCGCGGAGGCGCGGAAGCGCGGAGGCGCGGAGCGCGGCCATCCCCGCGCTCTCGCTGCGACGGCCCTGCGCCCTCCAGGAGACGCGACGGCCCTGCGGCGCGGGCCGCGGGGCACGCCGCCGCCGAGGGCCCCGCCGCACCCCCGCGGAGGGGGCCCGCCGGGCCGCGCTCGGACCTCTGGGCCTCGGCGGGGGAAGCGCTGGGGCGAAGTCGGGCAACTGGATCCTGGTGGGAGACACCACACTCACCAGTGCACATGTAGCATATGTGTCGATACCAACAAATACCTACTTACATGCATGCAAGCATGCATGCATACGTACATGCATACCTACATACATTCATACATACATACATGCATGCATGCATGCATACATGCATGCATGCGTACATACATGCATGCATGCATACAAACATGCATACATATATGGCCAATGGCAAACATACATGGATATAATACATACATGCATACATACATACATGCATGCATGCATACATACATATATACGGACAGACAGACAGACAGACAGACAGACAGACAGACAGACAGACAGACAGACAGGCGTGCGTGCGTGCGTGCGTGCGTGCGTGCATGCATATATACATACATACAGACATACATAAAGAAATGCATACGTGCATGCATGCATGCACGCATGCATGCATGCATGCACGCAGACAGACAGACAGACAGACAGACAGACAGACAGACAGACAGACAGACAGACAGGCACACAGACAGACAGACAGACATCCATCCATATGTAGGTAGATGAGTATACACACATGTGTATACGTGTACGTACACGCTGACGTATGCGGACCTCCGCCTGAAATACAGAATGTACATGTGGCGTTCCATCGTCTCGCGCTCGCGAACCTGCCGAAGAATGCACGCAAACTGCTCGCGGCGGCGGCTGCGAACGCAGTGCCCTGTTCAATGCTCCCGCCCCCGCCCTGAGGCCCCCGAAAAGCTGCCCGCCCTCGCCCAGGATGTTCCTGCGGGGGCCGGGCCCGCGTGGCCCGGCGGACGGCAGGCCCCGCTGCCGGAGAGCCAGGATTTCGAACGATGCAGAAAAGACTGGGTCCAGGGTGGCTCTGCGCACGCGGACAGCGTCGCCGCCGTCGGCGTGCCAGAGCATCCACGAGCAGCGACGTCGAGCGACAAAGGGGCGGGTCGCAGCGGCCTGCCGGCGCTCGGGCCCGGACGCTCGGCCCAATTCCAGATCGAGCTTCCTCGAGCTTCCGCCGCCGTCTGCTGGGCTTGGGCCACCAAGCTTGCTCGAGCCTCCAGCATGAAGGGGCCCTGAGACACACAAATGAATACACACAAGTAAAAGGATTCCCCATATTTTCCTATATTTTCTGGGGTTTCGTCTTCCCCCCCACTTCCCATATTTTCCAATATTTTCTTGGAAATCGACGATTCATTGTGTCTGTGTGTTTTCTTCCCTCCTGACAGCACTCCTCGGCGGCGCGCCGGGGGGGGGCAGCAGGGATCGACCCAGGCCGTGTCTCTGGCTCTCGCTGTGTTTTCGTCTTGCCTCGTGCTGTCTTCCCAGCCGCCCCTCTGCTGCAGAGCGCAGGCGAAACGAAAAGGGCCCACGAGATCGCCAGAGCACCGCTGAGGTCGACCCCCTGGGGGGAGGGGGGCAGCGAGAGGGGTGTCAGGCCTGCTCAGCAGGCGGCGGGCCTTCTCCGCAGCCCTGGAAATGCCCGCCGCCTTTGCCTCTCCCCCTTGGGGCGCACCGTCGATGTTCTCCTCCCAAACATGAAGTGGCCCAGGGACACACAAATAAACACACACACACACACCAATCCCAGGGATTCCCCATATTTTTCCATATGTTTTGGATCTTCGTCTTCCCCCCCACTCCCCAGATCTTCGCACATCTTCGAGCGATCGACAATTCATGGTGTCTGTGTGGTTTTCCCCTCCTGGCGAAAACCCCCAGCCATCTCCGGTCTGCGGACCGCGGCGTCCTGGGTCAGGTAGGTGAAGCAGCCGGCGGCAACAATGAGCGCGGACCTCGGCCGCGAGCCCCAGCCCCGCACGGGACGGCCCGCTGCCGAACCGACCTGTCTCCGCAGCGGGCGTGGCCCCGCACCGACGAGTCCAGAGGACCCTGCATTTGAACGCCCGAAATGGGTACGGAGAGAATGGGTACAATGCCCAACAGCAGTTCCTGTTCATTTTGAACAGGACTCGCTGTCCACGCCGCCGCGGCCAGTGTCCATTCGAGACAGAAGGCCGCCTGCCCACCAGCGGCCGCTGTTGGTTTGGGACAACATTTGTTGTTGGGCATTGTACCAACTTCTTCCGTGCCCATTTCGGGCGTCCAAACTGCAGCTGCACGTGCGCAGTGCCTTCCTGCCCGGCTCCTGCACGTGTCGAAAGACTTCTAGATTCGAGCCTCGGCGACTGCGGACCACGCAACACAGGTCCGATCGGTACAAGCGTGCATGCATGCACACCTGCAGCAGTTCATGCGGCAACGCATTCGCAATCATACGCCGCATGGTGTGGCAACGGTTGAACTGGGCAGAAACATGGATAATCAAATGTCAAAAATGCACGCTGAGCTAAAGAAGCCACGAGGAAGCAAAAGAAAGAGTCCGATCGCGCAAGTCAGGCTGGTCAAACCGTCGAGGCAGACCGAAGTCGAGACAATAGCTCAGATCGAGCTGCGGAAAAATCGAACCCTGCGGACGATACTTATCCGCCGCCGCGCTTGCAGCGGCTGGTGTGTGCAGGGCCTTTGTTGAAGGGGCCCCAGGACACACAAATAAATACACACAAATAAAAATATGTCCCATATTTGCCCATATTTTCTGGGCCTCTGTCTTCCCCCCCACTTCCCATAGTTTCCCATCTTTTCTAAGGAATCGACGATGAATTGTGTCTGTGTGTTTTTCCCCCTCCTGATTTGCAGATGTTCACCCGCGCCAGCACGTGAGCTCGCCGCTCCTTCGGAAGAGCATGGCCGTCGACACCCCTCGAGAACCCGTTGAGAGGCAGGGCCGAGGCCGCGCCCAGGGCGCCCTCCGTCCGCCAGCGGGGGGCGCGCGCCGGTCCCGACCGCCCGTCGTGCCGACGATTGACCACCTTACTTGGCGGCGCGCACAAGGGGGTGGGGGGAGGGCGGCGGGTTTCTTAGAAGCAGGGCCGCTGCTTCTTAAAGGCGCCGGCCTACATCTATCTATAAGGCCCGCGGAGCCCTGCGACTTCTTAGAAGCAGGGGTGCTTCTGAGAAGCCCTCCCCCCTCCCCCCACCCCCCTCTGCGCGTGGCTGACTTACCATGGAGGCCCCGACCGCAAGAGACATCCCACGAGAAGCCCAACACCCTGAGACTCCAGGGCGCCCCTTTCGATTTTTCGGTGCGTGGGGACGCCACGCCCTCCACCGCAGAACCGTCGCCCCCAAAAAACCCAGGGCACCCTGGAGGCAAGCAGGGCGCCTCTTGGCATGGGCCTCCACGGTACGTGATGGAAAAAAACGGGGGCCGGCCAGTGCGAGTGGGGCCTCTTGGCGGCGGCCAGGGGGAGAGCCTGCCCTGGCTGGGCCCCGAGAACAATCGCCCGGGGTCCCTGGGCCCTCCAATGATTCACCAAAGCCTCCTCCTCCTCCTCCTCCTCCTCCTCCTCCCCCTCCTCCTCCTCCTCCTCCTCCTCCTCCTCCATACCTCCTCCTCCTCTCTCCTCCTCCCTCCCCCTCCACCCTCCCCTCTCCTCCTTCACCCCTCCTCCTCCTCCTCCTCCTCCTCTCCTCCTCTCCCCTCCTCTCCAACTCCTCCTCCTCCTCATCTCCTCCTCCTCCTCCTCCTCCTCCTCCTCCTCCTCCTCCTCCTCCTCCTCCTCCTCCTCCTCCTCCTCCTCCTCCTCCTCCTCCTCGTTCGTTCGTTCGCGGCTTTAGGGCAGAGAGTGGAAGCCCGATCACAGAGGGTGGACGGCAAAAAGAGTGGGATGGGGGGTAAGAGCGGCGGCAGCAGCAGAGCCAGCAGCCAGCAGCAACGGTGAAGCCTCGGCTCTGTGCAGCCACACAGCTGCAGCAGGCCGTACAGGGGCGAACAAGTCAGGTGAGATGGCAGCCCTAGGTCAAGGTGTCCCCACCCAACACTACCTTCTCCCTCCCCGATCAGACAGTGCAGTAAGGGCTACTGCCTTTTAAAGTGGGCGTACACTATAAGAAGGAAAAAGGAAGTAAAAAATACGGTTTGGAAAAGAAACCTTCACCCCCAGAGGGTCAGCTACTGACAGTGTCGAGCTGTATACTATAGTAAACAGCACTGGACTACTACTACTTTTTATAGTGAGTGTACACTGGCGGTACTTGGGTGAGCACGGCATCACCTTCATAGTCCAGCCCTTCACTTCACCTCTGGTCTCTACACTGTACTGGTGAGGCCCCCCACGAGGCTAACAAAGTTGCTGTTAGGCGAGACATCAGGTGAGCAGGGGAAGGGCAACATAGGGAAAGGTGAGTTAGCTCTGTCCTGCATCCTCTCTGTCTGGCCTATTTTGCCGCATGCAATCCATACCAATCATTCCCGTGTCCAAGTACGGGTCCAGTGGCACATAGTATCTGCGTAGTGACGGTGGTAACCACTCGTCACATGTCTCATCCAGATTATATTGCATTCTTAACCATAACTCATCTTCATAAGTCCATACATGTTGTGTATCTGTGGGTACAAACGTAGTATTCCATCCTGCTTGTCGTGGCCTGTCGGCCTGTGCCCGTGCCGTGGGGCGTGGTGGTTGTTTGAATCGTAACCTTCGTGTCGTCACGGTCGATGCAGGAGTGGGTGGTGGGGGTGGGGGGGTATCGAACAACCAGGGAAACTTCACCCAAGCCTCCTGAGCAAAGGCCCTCCCCAGAAGCTCACATAGCCCTTTGGGATACAATTTAGCATGTGCGGTGTTCCAGATCCCCATATGGTCGACCCCTTCGAGAGCGATGTGCCCCATAGTATGGTTACAGAGAACCCCATGAGGCCTAGCCCATAGGGCATCACGAAGGGCACCAAAATGCACACCCATTAGACTCGTGGGTTTGCGCGAGGGGGCTCCAAACATACATTGATGTATGGTGTGCTTCTCCACCCCTGGTTGTTGAAGAAGGTCTTTGGTGAGCTCCAAATGCCAAGAGCTCGGGGCCTCTGGGGGACTCCAAGGCTCTGCTGGGTGCTCCACAACTTCAGGAATGAGAAGCCTCCAACATACCACTGCAAACTCAAGTGTGGTTCTCAACAGCCTATTTCCAAGAGAAAGCTGATCCGACTCACGCTCAGAAACAAATGGTAGCCCCCACAGCTGTGAAGCGAGCCTAAGAGGTCTGGGTGGTCTCGCACGGGGCCCACGGGCTCCTTGAATGGGCTCCTTGAATGGGTTCCCACGGGCTCCTCCTCCTCCTCCTCCTCCTCCTCCCCCTCCTCCCACAATTCCGACCGCGGCCATGGCAGGCTCGTCGGCTCTCAGGGGGGGCGGCCCTGAAGAGATCCGCCTGGTCAATTTAATCCTTCGGGAGGGGACCTAAGCTAGGAAGGCCTGTAACAACAGTAGGGATAGGGGGTCTTTTTGCCTGCAGATGTATCGAGCCAAACCGCCCAGGCTCACTGTCCCTCATGCGAAGACAGGGACCTAGTGAAGCCACGTCTTCATCGTGTAGCGGCCCCCCGGGAGGCAGAGACGGAAGAAAACGGCTCGAGCCCAGAGCCTCGAGCCTCGCCTCAGGTCGGGCCTGTCCCCCTACATGGGGATTTTGGCCGAAAAACAAAAAATACTCGAGAAATACCCCCCGAGTGGGCAAAAATAGTCAAAAGATCGTCCCCAGACTATTGTTTTAACTATTTTTGAATCGGGGATGGACAGACCCCCATTTAGTAAAACGTAGTTTAGTGAAAACGACCTGAGGCCCAAACCTGGCGGGCGCAAGCCTGGAAAATAACGGCCACGGCGCCCTCTCGAGAACCGAAAACGGACAATTCACTAATCGACGTGTCACTGTTGGGGGTTCTGTCCACCCCCGATTGAACATTCCCCCTGTAGAGGAACAGGCCCGACAGAAGCCGCGCCCCTCCTATCCTGCCGGCAGGCGCCCGCGCCGGGCCACCTCAGACCCCCCTCCGACTCCCAGGGAGAGGGCCGCTGGCCTGTCCGAGCAGGAGCAGGAGGAGGAGGAAGGAGAGGAGGAGGAGGAGGAGGAGGAGGAGGAGGAGGAGGAGGAGGAGGAGGAGGAGGAGGAGGAGGAGGTGGAGGAGGAGAAGGAGGAGGAGAAGGAGGAGGAGGAGGAGGAGGATCTCCCCCGTGGCCTCTCGTCGTCGGGGTCGGGCCCGCTCTGGCGGCCCAGCGGGCCGAGGAGCACCCGGGCCTCGGAGGAAGAGGTACCCATACCTCTACCCCCTCCGCCCGTTGTCCCCTTTTGGGGGCAAGCCTGGGCATGCCTCGTCGCCAACGCTGGACTCGCCTCGAGTTTCGGGGGGCGAATCCAGCGGCGGCGGATCCTGGTCAGAGCGCACCCTGGGAGAGGTCCGGGGAGCAGCTGCATCCGTACCTCTTAATTTCCCCAGGGACGGCCCGAGAGCCCCGAGACCCCACCACACCCTGCGAAATGCTTAAGAAATCATGGGTTAAGAAATTCACAGTCTCAGAAATTGAATAAAACCCAGAACTTCTATAAAAATCTTGGGATTTACACTGAAACGTTAAGGATAATCGAGACTCTGGCCGAAAACTTAGGTTTTCTTAAGCACCGCATATTGTGCAGGCCAGGATGGCCCAAAATCGAGTCGGGAAACAGAACCGGCCATCGAAGTGCATCGAGTCGGCGGGCATCGGCAGACAGAGCGGAGGGCACGGGAGTCGGCGCCCGCCGGCCCAAGCCGAGGCATGCGCGCAGAAAGCCGAGCGGAGGTCGGAATCTGGAGCCAGCTCAAGTCGAAGTCGGGATCCTCGAAACCGGACCGACTGGAACCGACAGGGTCGAGACGGCACCCGTCGGGCCCCCCCCCCAACAAAAAAAAACGAGGTGGAGCTCCCTAGGGGGCCACGAACCGTGTGAGGGGTGTGCCGAACTGATGATGATGATGGTGATGATGATGATGATGGTGATGATGATGGTAATGGTAATGGTAATGGTAATGGTAATGGTAATGGTAATGGTAATGGTAATGGTAATGGTAATGGTAATGGTAATGGTAATGGTAATGGTAATGGTAATGGTAATGGTAATGGTGGTAATGGTAATGGTAATGGTAATGGTAATGGTAATGGTAATGGTAATGGTAATGGTAATAATGGTAATGGTAATGGTAATGGTAATGGTAATGGTAATGGTAATGGTAATGGTAATGGTAATGGTAATGGTAATGGTAATGGTAATGGTAATGGTAATGGTAATGGTAATGGTAATGGTAATGGTAATGGTAATGGTAATGTAATGGTAATGGTAATGGTAATGGTAATGGTAATGGTAATGGTAATGGTAATGGTAATGGTAATGGTAATGGTAATGGTAATGGTAATGATGATGATGATGATGATGATGATGATGATGACGGTGACGGTGACGGTGATGGTGACGGTGATGCGGACGATGGGGATGCGGATGATGGGGAGAGGGAGGGGGGCCCAGCGGGAGGAAGGACGCGGGCGCTGTCTGCTCACAACGAGGACCCAACACCACAGGATGGGGGCCACATGCGAACCCTACCCCTACCCCCCACGATTTCTGAGGGGGAGGGGGGGGTCACTTCGTTCGGGAGCTCCCGAGCGAAGTGAACCCCACCCTCCCCCTCAGAAATCGTGGGGGGTAGGGGTAGGGTTCGCATGTGGCCCCCCAACAGGATGGCTGGAAAAAACCGAGCTGGGGAGACCAGAGGACACCGATGCCACGACGGCCCGGACCTCTCCCCGGGCGCGCTCCGACCAGGCTCTCGAGGCGACGCCGGCCGCGACGGCGGGGGCGCCCCTGGAGGCCCAGAGTGGCGAGCGGCCGAGAGGCAGGGTCGGGTCTGGCATGCCCTCCTGCAGGCGAACGCTGGAGGACAAGTCAAAAATAGCCAGGCAAGAGCCAAAAATAGTTGTTTTATAGATATTTGTATATATATATATATAGTTACCTAACAGCTTTTGCTGATAGGTTTCTACTGGTGTCAAAAAAAGAGCATCTTGACGACCCAGGGGGGTCTGGGCGGGAACCGGATGCGGGAACCGGACAAAACCGGCAGCCCCAGGAATCCTTAGGAATTCTTAGGAATTCTTGGGAATCCTTAGGAATCCATTCCCAGAACACCATTCCCAGGCCACATGTTGAATGCCTGGAGCCAACTGTAGGCCACTTCGTGTTCGTCGTGTTCCCAGAACACCATGCCCAGGCCACATTTTGAATGCCCACAGCCAACTGTAGGCCTCTTCGTGTTCCCAGAACACCACTCCCAGACCACATTTTGAATGCCCGGAGCCAACTGTAGGCCACTTCGTGTTCTTCGTGCTCCCAGAACACCATTCCCAGGCCACATTTTGAATGCCCGGAGCCAACTGTAGGCCACTTCGTGTTCTTCGCGTTCCCAGAACACCACTCCCAGGCCACATTTTGAATGCCCAGAGCCAACTGTAGGCCACTTCGTGTTCTTCGTGTTCCCAGAACACCAGTCCTGTGCCATATTTTGAATACCAGAGCTGAGGCAGGGTGAGGCCGAGGCAGGCTGAGGCCGAGGCAGGCTGAGGCTGAGGCTGAGGCACGCCGAGGCAGGCTGAGGCTGAGGTTGAGGCAGGCTGAGGCAGGCTGAGACTGAGGCAGGCTGAGGCTGAGGCTGACGCAGGCTGAGGCCGAGGCAGGCTGAGGCTGAGGCTGAGGTGGCAGGCTGAGACTGAGGCAGGCTGAGACTGAGGCTGAGGCAGGCTGAGGCTGAGGCTGAGGCTGAGGCTGAGGCTGATGCAGGCTGAGGCCGAGAGGCTGACGCTGAGGCTGAGGCAGGCTGAGGCTGAGGCTGAGGCTGAGGCCGAGGCAGGCTGAGGCTGAGGCTGAGGCAAGCCGAGGCAGGCTGAGGCAAGCTGCGGCTGAGGCAGGCTGAGGCTGAGGCTGATGCAGGCTGAGGCTGAGGCAGGCTGAGGCTGAGGCTGAGGCTGAGGCAGGCTGAGGCTGAGGCTGTGGCCGAGGCAAGCCGAGGCAGGCTGAGGCTGAGGCTATGGCTGATGCTGAGGCAGGCTGAGGCTGAGACAGGCTGAGGCTGAGGCTGAGGCAGGCTGAGGCTGAGGCAGGCTGAGGCTGAGGCCGAGGCAGGCGAATCCTTCGGAATCCCTAGAATTCCCTCGGAATCCTTAGGAATCCCCAGGAATCCCTAGGAATCAGGTTTCCTAAGGATTCCTATGGATTCCTAAGGACGCCTAAGGATGCCTTAGGAATCCCTAGGAATCCTTAGGATTCCATTGAATCCTAAGGCCGTTGCCACTGCGACTGTCATTGCGAATGCGACTGCGACTGCGAGAACTGGATTCTCACCTGAATCTCAAGGGGAATGCTTCCAGATATGCTTATACACATCGCTGTTAGGTTGCGTTGCCGGGATATCTGTTATAATTACAAGAATAAGGAGAAGAAGAAGAATAAGAAGAAGGAAAAAACAGTAATAATAATAGTCATGATAATACTGATAATACTAAAAATAATAATGACAATGCTAATAATGATAATAATAATAATAATACGAATAATAATAATACTAGTAATAAGAATGATAATAATAATGATACTAAGAATACGAATAATACTACTAATAATAATAATAATAATAATAAGAAGAAGAAGAAGAAGAAGAATGATAATGATAATGATAATGATTATTATGTTGTTGACTATGTTGGCATTCTCCTCCTGCGGAGGGACGCGCCCGACTCGCAGCGAGGGCAGCCGCGTCGGCACCTCTGCCGCGCCTCTGGCTCCAGGCCCCCCCCACGGGGGGCGGCGCGGTGCGCTGCAGCGCTGCAGCGCTGCAGCGCAGCTGCCCCCCGGAAGAGGCCCGGAGGCGGGCGCCCGAGGGGCGTCCGAGGAGGGGGCGTCCGAGGAGGGGGGGCGTCCGAGGAGGGGGGGTCCGAGGAGGAGGCGTCCGAGGAGGGGGGGCGTCCGAGGAGGGGGGGAGGCGTCCGAGGAGGGGGGGGCGTCCGAGGAGGGGGGGGCGTCCGAGGAGGGGGGGGCGTCCAAGGGGGCGTCCGAGGAGGGGGGGGGCGCCCGAAGGGCGTCCGAGGAGGGGGGGGCGTCCAAGGCCCCGAGATCCTGGCGTCTCAGTGTTTTCGAGCCGGGCATTTTCTCTTTTCTGCTCGGGTTAAGTCGGGCGTGCCCCCCTACAGGGGGATTGTGGGCGAAATATATATATATATATATATATATATATACATATCATCCAAAAAATACCCCCCAAAAGGGCAAGAATAGTCAAAAAACGTTCCCCGACTATTGTTTGACTGTTTTTGAATATCCCTCCTGTAAAGGGACAGGCCCGACTTAATTCTCGGGCCCCGGGACCCTCAGAGGTCGATCCGGCTCGAGAAATGACGCAGAGACGTGGGGTCCGGGGTTCTGGGCGTGTTTTTTTACGATGTTGCAATTTTTCGCTGCGTCGGATCTCAAGGGCAGGGGAGGGAGGTTCGCAAATCATGGCTCGAGGGCGCGTGCGCGGCCCCAGGGGGGGGCCAAGGGACGCACTGCACTGGGCGATGGGGCCATGAGGGCTGGGGACACATCATGGCCCCGGCCACGATATGCACACCCTCCCCCTTCAGTCATCACTCCCCTCTTTGGTGGGCGTTTTTTTCCACCGCCACCGCCAGAAGCAGGAGGGGGAGGGGGTCCTCCTCCTCCTCCTCCTCCTCCTCCTCCTCCTCCTCCTCCTCCTCGTCCTCCTCCCCCTCCTCCTCCTCCTCCTCCTCCTCCTCCTCCTCCTCCTCCTCCTCCTCCTCCTCCTCCTCCTCCTCCTCCTCCTCCTCCTTCCCACCTCCGGCTTGCGGTGGTGGTGGTGGTGAGGAACAGGCCCATCACTCTCGGCCGCCCCCGAGGTACGCGCGGCAGCGCGACCCGGTCCACGGCCCCGTCGGGCGAGGGCCGCAGGGGGGCTCGGCACGACGATCGGGGGCCGGCGCGCGGCAGAGCCGAGGACAGGCAGGAGGCCGCGGAGCTGCTGATGTGCGTGAAGATGGGGGAGAGCCGCCACCGCCCCTGCGGCGGCTGGTGTGCGTCGGGCCGCTCTGCACTCCCCGAGCCCCCTCGCACCATGATAAAAATCACGACGGGAAATTATATATCCGCGATCTTCGGCCTCTGGGGGGGCCCTCTCCGGGCCTCGGGGTCGTGAAAAGGCGGTCCAGGATGAGAGACCGGTTCCGGGGAAGGGGTCAAAACCTCCCTGGGGGTCGACGTCATGGAAAAACCATGGCGTCGGGCCGTTCTGCATTCTGCAAGCCCTGAGATCCTGGCGTTGCGACTTTTCCACAGCGGGGATTCTCGCTCCACGTCGGGCCCCGGGGCCCTCACAGGTCGGTCCGGCTCGAAGAGGGCGCAGGGAGATGCGGTCCGGGGCTCCGGGCGTGATATGTTGCGATGTTGTCATTTCTTGTTGGCAACGTCGGGTCTCGGGGGAGCAAGGATGACGGCCCCCCGACACATGGAGCCCAAGATGCGTTCACTGCTGCGTTCACTATTTTTTGCCCTCCAAACAAGAAGCGGCCCCAGATTCAAAAAGAGGTTGGGGGGAGGGGGGTTCCATGCACCCTCCCGCCTCAGCCTTCCCCACCCAAGGCGCACCCCCCTCCGCCAGCCCGAGCACGGCGGCGGAATCGCGCGGCAACGCAACTGGATCATGACCACCACCGGGCCGCGCAGGCAGGTGGCGATGGTCTTCATGACCTACGGGGCAGGATGGTGATGATGATGATGATGATGAAGATGATGAAGATGATGAAGATGATGAACGATGATGATGATGATGATGATG